AAAATTTAAACTTTTCCCATTTAGCAAGTCTAAAATTAAACCATCTATTCACGCTAATAGATTGCTTGTTATAGGAATCAAACATAGGAAAGTAAAACAAATCTTAGATATAGAGATGTGAAAAATGTTGAAATGATTGATGGAATTAACTCGAACTCTAATGAATCTCCAAACAACTGTAAAAGGGTTCAAATTCTATACCCTGACAACGTAAAATGATCATTAGAGATCATAATAATTGGAATAAGTAACCTAAGAAATAGGCAAGTAATCTTCTATAACATGTTCTTTGAGTAGATATAAGTTAAATCCATTGTAAAATTACTTAATAACTTTCCATTAGAAAAACCAAGCGTTCAAGGAGATAAGGAGCTGAAAATAACACGAAGGAACCCCAAACAAAATTAATGAATGCGTGACCTAATACACAAATCGACAAATTTCAACAAAAACTCAAGGCTGCGGCCGGATTTATTCTATATCAATTGAACGAAGTAGAGTATATAGTTTCTCTCTCGTTCAAAAACCTGATGAAAGTGCTCCTGTATTAGCTATAGCTGAGTCAAATGGAAAGTCAATAACAGTCTTCTAACAAATTATATATTCTTTCTAAGTGCAAAAAGCTACAATCCATACCTTGTGAGTTTCTATATCTTCTTCTTCATTGGTCTCCTCAGGCGAAGAATCATCTTGAAGAGTTGCAGAAGATTCTGGAATATCAGTCAACTGAATGGTTTTACCGAACAGTTTGATGGCTGGGTCTTTTAGTTCCGACATATTTGGTGTTTGCTGCTATGCACTTTTTCAATTTCCTAAGATAAAGTTAGAAAAAAGAGAGAGAAGAACATAACATAATCCAACAAACAAATCCTGTGATTTTGGGGATTCAGTCTCATGTTACTCCCCACAGATCTGACACATACACATACAACCCCGACACACACAAACACCCTATGTGTGTGTCACCACTACATCTCAATTTTTTCTTTTTACTTGTCCAGACTTTGCACGCTCATTCAAAAATACTAACGAATAAAATATAATTTATCATGATATTTATATTAATTGGTATATAGTCTTAATAAATTTAAAAAATAATTTGGAATAAGTAATTAATGACAAAACAGAAAAGATAAATTACTTTTCTTTTGATATGCGAAAAGTAACAAGTAAAAATGATAATTTATTTTTAGAATACTTGACAGCTAAAAGTGATTGAAGGGAGTATATGTTATGCGGAAATTTTTAAATTTTTAATAAATATTAAATTTAAATATATAATTTTAAAGATATAATGAGTTCAGTATAACAAATTTAAATATCATGTTAATATCAATATTGTATTAGGCATATTTGGGTAGGACTTTGTTGGCCATTGAGTGGTGATGGTTGATTTGGATTTATAATTTATTATGTGAATCAAAACAAATAGATTATACCAACTACAACAAATAATAAATTTAATGTAATCTCATAAGCGGAGTCTGAGAAGTCTGATGAATTTGCAGACCTTACCCCTATTTTGTGAAGGTAGAAAACATGTTTCCAATAGAAATTCGGCTCTAAAAAGCATGGAAGGAAAGAAAACAATAACATCAATAAGATAATAAAATAACTGAAGCAAACGAAATAACTGGTAATACTGTAAATCTATGGAAAAGAGAGACGTTCGACTATCTACTAACCTACATCCTAATTCTCGACATCCACATTTTCTTATCAAGGGTCATGTCCTCAATAAACTGGAGATAAGTAATGTCATGCCTAGTTACTTCTCCCCCGTACTAACTAGTTGAATTAAATAAGTATTATAGCTAAACAAATTTGAGTTAAGCAGATGAATATACAGATCCATATAGTCTACTCTACCAATTATTAGGCTGAAACGATTAGTTGATTGATATGAACATAATCAAATCTTAATAGTTTTAGATAAAGCATAATTTAAAGTCATCAATTTCGAATTCTTCTTTTTCAAAAAATAATTTGGGGATTATCAGCAACTTGTTTATGGAAAGTACGTGCAGAAAGTGTTAAATACAGCTGGGTATGCCACGTCAGAGGCAGAAAACAATTCTGAGCCACAAGCTGTTTGTGGCGTTGAGATTTTCTATTTCTGCTTTTACTCTTTTTTGATTCTCTATAAAGTGACTCTTTTTATCTGAGTCAGCAGCACCTTTTCTTCTCTTTTTTTCTCGTCCCCTAATTCTTCTAATTGGGACCTACTTTTGAAAGCCGCCAATCTTTTCGGGTTTGCTTCCATTTTTCTAATTTCCTTTATGTGTTTTTCGATTTCTAGTGGATGGAATTGCAAGTTGGGCCAAAACGTTGACTGACGTTTTTTCTTCCAAGAGCAAACTTTTAAATTTAATAATTAGAAAAAGGTTTATATTTATTCATGTACTATCTGGAACTGCTTAATATGTTCTATTCATGTTTTTCACATTCGTTAATCGTCTTGTATTTACTTTTATTATTAACAAAGCTTCATCGTAAAAATGGATGGATTTCATATATCAAAAAATTTCGAGGAAAATAAATCCAAATTTTGCCCTCAACTTTTGATTATTGTTTAGAATTACCTTCTATACACTTTATTTGTACAAGTAACTGAAAAATTGCTTAAGCTTAACATTTTGTTAGTATAAAGATTTTTTTATGAGAAAAATATGAATTGGCTACGAGTTCAAGAGTTTAAAGTTTATGTATTTGTCCCTTTCTTGATGCATTTTCTTTCATGTGGAATTGTTTTGATATTGTAAAAGTTTATTTTTTTTAATACCATTGCTCTAAAGAAAGTTATTTACTTTGAGAAAGTGTCAAAAATTGCCTATAGTTTGACTTTTTTCTAATATTATCCAGCATAAAAAGTCTCCTTTTATTTTAATCTTTAAAGAAGCTCCAATATGAAATTAATTTTAACCATAATAAAAAATTGAGAGGGTAAATTTAGACTTATTTTTTGAAGAATTTTCATATATGGAGTCTACTCTTTCATGCTGGAACTCTAATAATACCAACAGCAAAATATGAGACGATTTACTAACGATGAAAAGGATTTTAAAAACGAAAGAAGAGAAGGTTGGAAATACTTAATTTGAAATCACAAGGGGAGTTTCACCTTGATAAATCTTTGGACAAATTATATTTGGACACTTGCAAAGACTTTCTTGACTTAACACTTTTCGAATTTGGAAATAATTTGACCTGTTTGAAAAGCAATTGGAGTTGACTGTAATTGAATGTAATTACACAACGCTAAAATTTGACGAGCGCAAAATACAACACAAAATTATTATTTGCTAGTTAAAAATATTATAGTTTAATTATCATCTCCACGGGGGATTGGATTTAAACAGTGTTCGAATAATCCTCAGTTGATTACTATCCAGGAAAATTAACACTTGATTTGATGACTACTACTACGATTAACTACTAAAAATTAAGCAAGTAATAGTTGATTACAGAAGACACCAAGTAATTACTTGGTCAATATGTAATTGGGTGTTATTGAGGGGGTGTAATTATATTTTCTAATTCTCAAGAGGGGACTAAGAATTGTTGGTAATTAAATGGTGTAATTACAAGGTTATTTTTAAATCTCTTTTCTTTTCCTTTTTAAGTTACTTTTTATTTCTATTCTTTTTTATTTTTAATTTAGTTTTTAACCTTTTAAATTCTTTTTTTCCAAATATTATTTTTTTACGTTATTTATCTTTTATTTACTTATTTCTCATTTTCCAACATTTACTTCACGTGTTTCTATATAATTTTTGATTTTATTTTTTCTGATTATTTTTATTTATTTTTTATTACACTTAGCTATGTTATTATTTTAATTTTTATAAAAAACTTATACCTCGTAATCTTAGAAAGAATAAGTTATCCACAAACTTGACTGATAATGAGTGATGTCATTAAAATTGAATTTGTTACTGGATGAGGTTATATGCAAACTTAACTATGTTAAAATGATAGATTACTTTTTAATATTTAAATAATATTTTTATTTTTTGTGAATCCAGGTAGTTGCTCATATTTTTTATTTTTCTTTATTTTCTTCATTTAGCATAATTGTGATATTAATTCTAGTTTTGAAATTACACCTCCTAATATTAGAAATAATAAGTCATTAATAAACTTGGCATATAATGAGTGATGTCATTAAAGTAGAATCTCATTGTTGAATGAGGTTGTGGACTTATGTTTTCACTCCATCCATTCACTTTTACTTGTCCACTTTGGACTTTTCATATCCCTTAAGAAATAATAAATACAGTATGTATTTTTACCATACAACTCTTAATAATGATAGTCTTTCAAAAAGTCTTGGGAAATAAGTTTGGAAATGAGTAATTAATGATAAGGGTAAAACAGGAAAAAAATATTGTCTTTCTCTTGATTTAGTATAGTGGACAAGTAAAAGTGAAAATGTATTTTTAATATAGTGGACAAGTAAAAGTGAACGGAGAGAGTATTTTCCTTTGAATTATATGTACATAAATTATGTTGAAACTTATTTTACGTTATGTTGTAATTTTACATGAGTATTATGTTTTTTTGGATTTTGAATTACGTCATATTTCCAGTTCCATTTCATTTGATTTAGTAGGAATGACTTATTAATTCAGATTGCATGCCATTCATTTTTCAATAGAATTGATAGATTATATTTTCGTAAAATATTTGAGTAATGTTATGACATTTTATATTTATAAATCTTTTTTATCAAGAATGCAGCCCATGATGTTCTTACAAAATATGTACTTTTAGTTTATATTATTAATTTGAAAAATATGTCAATTATTTTTATAATATTAGTAATAAATATATAATTTGTAATTAATATGTTTTCAAGAAACAATATGTATCTTAAATGTAAAACTTAATATCATTTATAATAGCATATATTTGTTAAATCTTAATTTTTAATTTTTGATAATTAACTTTATATTTAAAATTTAATCTAACTGTATAATTACTCTTGTACAACCAAACAATACACTTTTAATTATATTATAATTACATTATGACAAACAAACAGGTCGTCGTAATTACAATACTGTGTAATTACTACCCTAGTAATTACACCAATTTCAATTACCGTTCTTAATAATAACTACCAACTGAGAAGAGCTTAAAGAGATGGCAAGCTCACTAGGTAGCTTTCACCTCAACATCGGAATCAGGAGTTCTCTTATCGCCTGCCGACAATAAAATAATAAGTATATATAACAAAGAAAGGCAAGCAGGGTTGGCTCAAAACAAATTTAAAGCATCAATTTTCTCATAGCAAAAACATAGCAGCACTTGTGCAAAATACAAACATGATGGCAAAAAAATGAAGGTAGTCCACAAAATTTCATAATATCATCTAATCATATAGAGTCTAAACATTTAAATTTGAGAACTGAAAACTCCTTCAAAGTCCCCATGATTCCTATCTCTCCACAATTTACAATTAATGCAACAGGAAATCGTATTCAGAATCCTCTTGATACCGTTTCTATCTTCCTTCCAGGCCAGCTGCAAAAAGCAGACTATAAAAATACAAAAGTCATTTCCTACTGAACAATGTAGGAACTAGTGGTAATACCTTTCATTTGTTCTTTACACATTTAACACCAAGGAGTATTACATAAGCTGAATAATCTTCTTCTCAGATTACCTTTGTGGGAAGACATGCTTCATGAAGAGCAATCCAACCAGAACAAGAGACTTTTCGAGCTGACCCACATTCCAAAAATATTTTCTAAGGCTTAGACTGATAGAAATAGTCTTTTATTTTCTTCACGAACTGGTACCCACTTTTGACAAAGTATATTCCAAATTTATTTCCTTTCCATTTTAACATAATCTTCTTTCCTGGAATCTTTTGTTGGCAATCTGTCTTCTATTCTTCTCCTTGAATCTATCAACAAACATTCTAAAAAAACTAGTGGCATAATATTCCAGAAACAACATTCTCCCTCCGTTTCAATTTATGTGAACTTATTTCCTTTTTAGTTCGTGCAAAAAAGAATGACCTCTTTCCCTATTTGGAAACAATTTACCTTTATGCAATGATTTATAGCCACACAAAATATATGTGCCTTATTTTACACCACAAATTCAAAAGTCTTCTCTCTTTTCTTAAACTCCGTGCCCAGTCAAATGAGTTCACATAAATTGAAACGGAGGGAGTAGTTCTTTTCAACTAGCTACCTCATATTTGGACTAAGTCAGCAAAATCATTTTGAACAAGCTCAGATGAGAAAGATGCAGGCAACATTCTGGTCCAACGAGAATAAACTTCTTGCAAAGAGAATAATCTTAGAGGATGATCTATAAGGTGATTACCAACATCTTAAATCAAATGACATTAGAAATTAGAGTATTATTACTTCCTTCTTTTTGCTATAAAGAAGAAACCAAAATTTCCTCAGGTTAGGTAATGCTCACAAAAGGTATAAACCCATTGAAAAAATCTACATGAATGGTTAACTTTTCAATGAGTATGACGTAAGAGGGTAAAACCGATTTGAAACACAATCATCTCTTTCTTTTAGATGAAGATGCTATCACGTACTTTTGAAGGGGAGCCTTGGCGTAACTGGTAAAGTTGCTGCCATGTGACTAGGAGGTCACGGGTTCGAGCTGTGGAAACAATCCTCTTGCAGAAATACAGGGTAAGGTTGCGTACGATAGACCCTTGTGGTCCGGCCCTTCCCCGAACCCCGCGCATAGCGGGAGCTTATTGCACCGGGCTGCCCTTTATATAATGAAAGAATTGAGAAACTCCCATTAAAGATTTGGAAAAGACCCGTCTGTTGATACCTCTCAACTAGAAGCCTTATTTCCAAAGAAAAGGTTTCCTACATGGTTTCAGAATTTAAGCAATGACAAAGCTCCTCATCAAATGATTTTACCCTATCCTTCATCAATTGCCTGTTGGGACACTTGAAAAATGACTTTATGACAGCTCATTCATCTCTTTTATCAGCAAAAGTTTTCTGTTTGTCTATTCCTGGAAGAATGGAGCTTCCAATATAAAAAATTTTCATATCCTAAGCCTCATTGATAGTTTCAACATAATCATTTCCATGATGTCAATGCTCAAATTTCAATTTAGAAAAAAACGCCGCCATTGGTGAATCAGTAGTGACTCCTCAGGGTTCTATGCAAACTTGATATTGAAAAGGTATATAAGGTATATTATCATGTCTGTTAGGAATATTTTGAGAAGTATTACTCTCTTGAGATATCTCAGGCTCTCAGCACCATGTAGGTGTTAGGAGACTGCTGCATGTATATTACAGAGAGCAAATGCTCAATTCCTGTATTAGCCCTGAAGTGCACTGAGAAAGTTCAACATGGTATCAACATAAGTTACTTTCACCATGTTATTATAAAAAAGTTAGCGAAGAAATACATTTTTAGTCTCAGCCCACATTTGTTTTTGAAGGAAAGTAATCTAAATACTTTTTGATCTTTTGCTAAGTTCTCTATTCTAGCTTTGTTCTGGCTTTGCATACCCTCCTTGTTATCCTCGCGTATTTCATCTCAAATATATCCAATATCATGCTCCAATTCACAATGGTTATTTTGCAAATGCACAGCCATAGGCTTGTTGTTAGGCAACCATCAATAACATGCTTCTTCTTGTATATTCTTTTTCACATGTGTTTGGTCTCAAGCAGAAGCGTATTACTTAAGTGTAAGAATGTCAAGTTCTCTACCCTCGTGTTATTGACTAGTCTTGTGCAATATGCAAGGTATATACCTTAAATCATTTTGACAGAGAGTACATCCCCTTATCATTGCACAAGTACCATGTCTCATGATCAACACAGTTATCTGGATCAGGTTTAGAGGTTGTTAATAATTTCAAAGTGGAGAATTGGACTCTATTCCTCTCCCTTTGCTCACCAAAATCATCTCTTTTGCAATGTTGATATGGATCGACTAAGGTGCTTCCTTATTCCACTAATTTCTCAAATAAAAACCTCAAATATATTACCTAGTTGATTGTTCTTGAGAAAATAACAAGTGAGAACCACTATTTGTTTACTAGGAAGAGAATAACGATTCAGATTTTCTAACAATTTAGATAACTCGATACTCTATCTAGAAAGCTACCTTTTGTCCAACACATTCTATTTTCAAAATACCTGGTATATGAGGCTTTCGCCTTTTACATCATAAACCTTACACAACCATAAAGGCGGGGATCCTCTTAAAGTGAAGTAGCAAACATCTTGTTGCTAAATAGACCATACAACACATCTTTTTCCAATCATTCACTCATTTAACATTACAGGAAACATGATGTTGGTTGAAGCTAACAATGAGGTTTTGAGGTGTATTTTTTATTTCAATGGAAGTTGCTGGCCAGCACACACAATAATAGCAACAGAGTTTCTTACAGCATTACCAATATACATGGGCATATTGGAATATAACGAGTCAAAATGGAGTGAAACGGATGGTGAGGCTTCATACCACAGACCTGAAATTGAGGACTAGTTGTATTTGTTGTGTAGCAATATGCAAAGGCATAAATCAATGAATTGTACAAGCACACTTATCATAAGCACGTAGCAATGTATAAGCAACGTAAATAACAAGAGAGAAGATGCATATTAAAATAGCTTACCTTCAACACTTGGATGATTTCTTAAACCTGCAAAATCTCACATCTCTATCTCCATCAATTCCCCACCACGCCAATGCTTGAAAGGTCTTTATGGTATCGTCAGCATCCCTGGCTTGAAAGGTGATATAACACCACATCCCAGCAGCATATGATGTGTTCACAGTCACATTTTTCACAAATTCGTATTTTGTAGCCTAAATAATAAGAAAAACAGCCAAATATCAATCAATCACAGAATAGAATGAGCAGTTAATTAAGCAATTACTTACATTCTGTGAATTGAAAGTTGCAATGGCTAACTGGGAGAGGTCAACAAATTTGGGTTTGTTCTCCTTACCCCGTTGAGGAATAATTGGAGCCCCAATAGCAGCATCCAAAGTCAAATCCAGAGTGATATCAAAACCCTAATTGCAGAAAAGAACAAATCTGCATACTTAATAGAATAGCACCTACCTCGCTCTCCTTGACTTGCCTGTGATACTCTTTCTGAAGATGGATACTCATTTTGCGACCGTCCGCATACATAATAAGATCATCATCAGAATCGTAGCAATCTTCTGGTCCTCCATCCTCTTCCAATTTTCGCGTCCCCTCACTAGGAGGATTCTCCGCCATCTTTTAGTTCAAAAGGGTTCAATTTTATGTCTCTACTTTAATTTCCTCTCTTTTCTGACATTGTACCTAATAAAATTTTGGTTATGCTTTCTGATGCATTTTATTACACCTCATGACATAAATAAAACATGCAACTTTGAGTACATTAACTTTGTTCATGTCTAATTCTTTTGACATTGTAATTTTTTTTTTTTGGCAAAAATAAAAGATAGTGTAATTTTTTTAAGGTTTTATTTGATTACCGCTTTCCTTACTCGAAAGATTGATGGTGTCTTTTCTTTAATTTCTATCCAAATAAATAAGTCACACCGTGGCCCGTACAATGTGGTCAGCTATTTTTAGAAGAGAAGCACAAAAGTCAGGTCTTCTATTAATTGAAGGAAATTAACATTCTGGTTGGATCATTATTATCTTTTATTTTATAATGTATTGTATTTTATTATATTATATTATATTATTTGATAGATATAATATTTTGATAAATTATATTGTTTGTTGTTGTTAAATAACATCGTTATTGTTTAGTTTGACTATATTATATTGTACTGTAATATTCAAGTTTACTAAAATACCCTTAATTATTTTAAATAGTAAAGTTATCAAGAATTACTCATAAAAATAGTTTAAGAAACCTGATGCTAAACTTTAATCCATGATTTTAACTTGATCAATTATATCACCAGAACATACGACTTAATAGAAAAACTTACTTCATGCGAATAAAAATCTCCAAAATTAGATATAGTTGCAACATAATGAGGAGAATTTAAAAAAAATGATCATAGACAAAAGAAGTACATGTAGTTTCGAAACAAGGGTAGAGACCTAAGCAAATTAAATAGTTAATTAAAAGCAGCAAAAAGTATGCAGAGATCATAGATGAGATAAAAAAATACACAAAAAAAAAGAAGAAAGAAAGAGTGAAAACTAACAAAATAGTGGACGACAGAAGAATGAAGACAAAGTACGTTGTCGGGTGAAGTAACATAAATAATAGAGTAGTGTAAAGGGTAATTGAAATATGGAATAATAAGTGGGCGTAATTAGAAAGAGAAATGAAAAACAATCCATCACATCAATTTAGTTGTTTCATAAAATATGATTTCTTACTGTTTCAGAACAATGAATTTAATAATAAAAATTGGACTTGGAAGCTGGCCAAAGTTATTATAAAAAGGGCCAAAAAAGAATAGCCCGAGCGAAGGAATCAAAGCTATTAAAAGAAAAGACCATCTGGAGGGTTGTTGGCCACAAGCCCAACCTTTATGTGAATAAGTTTAACGCCTTGGTTGTTCCTTCTCTTGAATCCGAAGAAATTAAGACACAGGAGACCTCCATAGCTCCCATACAAGAGCAACACTCAGACATCAGTCACTCAGACGTAAATGACGAAGTCACTCCACATCCAAGAATCCATAAACCATTGCGCATCAATTCTCAGAATATGGATTTGATTCTGGTAAGCAGTTCTGACAAAGACTTCTTCTCCCAAGCAGTCTATGAAGCTCTGCATTGACATGGTACGAATGGGCCCCAGTCAGTAAATTGAACCATCCATTATCGAGACCTCGAAGTGGACTAAAATAACCATGGTTAAGGCATGCAAGACTTTCGGAATTAATGCGGACGGGTTTGAGCATGATCTCTTAGGTTTAATATAGCGAATAGAGCAAAAGAGATAAGCTCAAATTCAACAGCAGGAATCACAATGAAAATCAGTGAAGGGAAAAAAACTAAAGGAGAAAGGGAAAGAAAGAGGTTACTCTGTGGGATAAACTCTGACCGAAAAGGGCAACATGACAGTGAATCAAGGGGCAGGCACTAAAAATTCTTCTCTGGATGAAGCTTAAAATCCTAAGTTAGAATGTAAAAAGGTTGAATGAGGAGGAGAAAAAGAGCACTATTTAATCTCTCACTCAAAAAAGGAGGGTGAATATCTTATGTCTGTATGAAACAAAGATTGAAGAGCGGTCCAACAGATTGACTCAATAATTATGGGGTAACAGATGGGCTGATTGGATTGAATTAAAGGCAAGTGAAACTAGGAGATGGATTGTAATGATTTGGGACAAAAGGCAATGAAACATAATAAACGCTCGTCAGGGTTATTACTCCATCTCATGTATGCTTTAAAGCACCCAAGATGAATTTAGGTGGTGCTTCGCATGTGCTTATGAACCTCACTCTAATCCACAGAGGGAGGTAATGTGGAATGAAATTGTAGGTGTGAGGAGATTATGGGAAGGCCTCTAGGTCATAAAAGGTGACTTCAATGTTTGTAGGTTTGAAAGCGAGAGATTAAACTGTACTAGAAGATCTAGAGCTATGAGATCCATTCTCTGAAATGATACAGGACCTTGATGTCATGTATTCACCCCTTCAAGGAGCTCATTACACCTGGTCGAAATGTGACAATTGCATACAAGCTTCTAGAATTGATAGGTTTCTTATTTTCCTTGAATGGAATGATTCATTTAAAGATGTGAGACAAATTGCTCTACCCAAGTTGATCTCAGATCACAGGCCAATTTTATTTGAGAGTGGGAACTGAGATGCAACCCCTTCTTATTTCAAGTTTGAGAATGTGTGGTTGCAGTTTGAAGGTTTCGTTGACAAATTGAAGAACTGGTGGCAAGGCTACTATTTCTCTGTTAGAGCAGACTTTATACTTTTGCAAAATTTAAAAAGCTTGAAGAAATACGTCACCCGATAGAACAAAAAAGAATTTGGGAAGGTAGAAACCAGGAAAATCAGGGCTCTTGATGAGCTAATGACACTCGAACAAATGACAGAAGGTAGAAAATTGGCTTTAATCGAGTCCAATCAAATGATGAGCCTGAGAATGGAGCTTCAATAGCTAGCCAAAGTAGAAGAGATATCATGGAGGCATAAATCAAGGTGTCAATGGCTTAAGTAAGGTGATAGGAACACTAAATATTTCCAAAAGATTGCAAACTCACAAAGAAGAAAAAACTGCATAGATAGACTCTTAGTTAACAATGAAAGTGTAGATGATAAGGAGCTTATAAAATGGGAGATACTAGATTTTTATAGAAAATTATACACAGAATAGGAGAATTAAAGGCCCTCTATAATCTTTGAAGGCATAGCAACCATTACAGTAGAAGAGAATAATGGTCCGGAAGCACCTTTTGATGAAGAGGAGGTACTAGCAGCTATACAATTAAGTGCACTAGACAAGGCACCTTGACCAGATGGGTTTACTATGACCTTTTACCAGCACTCTTAGGAATTCATCAAACATGATATCCTCGCAACCATGAGTCACTACCATCAACATTATTGGATGGTCAGGTCGTATAATGCTTCTTTCATTGCATTAATCCCCAAGAAAAAAGGGCTATGGAATTAAGGGACTATAGGCCAATTAGTCTCATTGGTAGTGTGTATAAGATCATAGCCAAGGTTCTTTTAGAAAGATTAAAAAAAGTGATGGGAAATCTGGTGTCAAACCATCGGAATGCATTCATTAAGGGATGATAGATTATAGATGCCTCACTGATAGAAAATAAGGTTCTTGATTGGCAATTGGAGCAAGGGGTGGAGGTATCCTATGCAAGTTGGACATTGAAAAATCTTTTGATCAAGTGAATTGGTCATATCTCATTTCTATCTTCAGGGGGATAGGAATTGGGGAAAGATGGATCAAATGGATTAAATTCAATATGTCCACTGTCAAGTATTCTGCTCTGATTAATAGGAGTCCAACAGGTTTCTTTTCCCCTCAAAGAGGCTTGAGGCAGGGTAACCCTCTCTCTCCATTTATATTCATACTTGCAATGGAAGGACTGAGCAAAATATTAGATAAAGCTAAGCAGATGCAGTGGGTGAATGGCTTTAATATACGGAGGACTTGCACTGTTAACATCTCACATTTGCTATACACCGATGACACCCTGATTTTCTATGGGGCAGATAAAAATCAAGTGCTCTATTTAAATCTAGCATTTCTTCCTGGGGACCCCTTTAGGAGCTAAATTCAAATCAGAAACTATATGGAGTGGGGTCATTGAAAAGTTTGAGAATAAGCTTGCTTCCTGGCAGTTGCAGTATTTATCTATGGGTGGCAGACTGACTTTGATCAATAACGTCCTAGACAATATCCCTACCTGCTATATGTCATTATTTCCAATGAGTAGTAAGATTTTGAAATAACTTGATAAAATAAGAAGAAATTTTCTATAGGAATGGAATAACAGTGATCACAAATTTTACCTGGTTAAGTGGTCTAAACTTTTATTACCAAAGTACCAAGGTGGACTGGGTATCAAGGATTTAGCTTTACATAATAAATGCTTATTAATGAAGTGGCTATGGAGGTACACTCAAGAGAATAACTGACTGCGGAAGGAATTTGTTAATGCCAAACATGGTATACAGAACCACTAGTGCACTAAACAACACCAAATAGAGTTAGAGTTTGGAAGCATATCTATAAACTCTGAGAGGAGTTCTCATAGAAAATGCACTTTGTAGTTGGGAATACACATCATATTAAGTTCTGAAAGGATAAGTGGTTGGGCAGTACAACTTTAATAAATACCTATCATGCACTATACCAGATCGCCAGAGAGCCTAACTCAACAATATTACATAACAGGGAAGACAACACCTGGAACATAATTTACAGAAGGAACATACAAGATTGAAAATTTGAGGAATTGCTCAGACTACTGGCCTAAATGGATTCTCAAGCAACCAATTGGCACTAGACTAGCTCATATGGCATTAGACTAGCTCATAATGCAATCACTAACCAGTGTCTATGGAAGCTAATTTGGAAAGTCAAACTACCACCTAAAGTTATCTGCTTCAATTAGACTGCACTTCATGAAGCTTGCCTAATATAGGATAACTTGGCCAGAAGAAACTTCCCTATGGCTAATAGAGACTTTATGTGCTAGAGGAATGCAAAATCACACAGTCACCTCTTTCTACATTGCACAGTCGCAATAAATATTTGGAATATATTTTTATCTCGTTTTGGACTCAGATGGGTCATGCCACAAAACTTCAGGGAAGCTTTTGAGAGCTGGAGCCTTTGGGAAGTTGATAGCTTCATCAGGAAAATATGGAAGATGATACCTGCAGCCATTTCTTGGACTATCCAGA